GAGCATATTGAAGACCCCAGCAAGGCCTCTCCTCACTCCTTGCCCTCTGAACACGTCGTTTCCCTCCTAAGAGCCCCTTCCCTCTGCTCCCTGCAGCACAGTGTGAACTGCAGCTCCATTCCTGCCATGCCTGATGTCATCTTTGTCATCGATGGTCTCCAGTACCCTGTGTCTGCCTGGGCTTACACTGAGCAGGTGAAGTGGAACCAGCTGGTCCTGCTTGCAAGGACCTCTCAAGGTCCTTCTGCTCTCTCCAGTGGCTCTGGTTCCCTTGGCTTCTCCCATTCCCATGGGAGATGGCAGACAAATGGCCATGAGCCTCCAGAGCTGTGCAAGGAAAGGCACCAGCTCACATCTCCCCCATTTGCCTTTTCTTGCTCCAATGCAGCACGACCCAGGATCCTGCACGAGCAGCTTCCAGACCACCTCTGGAGACCTTTGGATCCTGGGAGACGTCTTCCTCAGGGTGTACTACAGCATCTTCGACCGGGCCAACAACCGCGTGGGACTGGCCAAGGCTGTTTAGACCCACCCTGGTGATGTGGTTTCACCTCCTACCAGACCACAGCCGTGGGTTTGGGCACAAATAAAGTGCTGATGGTTCAGAATCGGTGGCTGCACGTTTATTTCTCATGGAATGGTGGGAATCAGGAAGGAGCTCTTAAACACCTGCTGCTTTGTGGTGATTTAGGAGCATTTGGTCATCACAGGCCTGCAGCCTTTAAGAGCTGCAGGGACTGAGGGGGGGAAGCCAAGACTGGCTCTTTTATTGGGGCTATATCAAGAGAGTGATTCTGGAAAACCCAGATTTCCACCTAGGGAGGGTGAACTCACCATCCCAGACACAGCCCATGTCAGAGCAGATCCCTGCAGACCCACAACCATGTCCCACCAGTAGCTTCCATGTCCCATGACCTGGTAACTCCCCATCTCTGGGCTCAGGACTGGGGTCAGGCAGCCTCAAAACATCTCAGGGCACTGAATCCCTCAGGAAAATGTGGCTTGGCTGGAGTTTTCCCTTGGACAACCCAAGAGAGCTGGGCAGGAAAAGGCTCTCACCCAGTGCCTCCCATCGAGAGGCTTTTACAGAAGCACAGAACCTACAGAGTTCCCATTTTCCTAAAGGAAATTACCTCCAGATATATTGAACCCTATTAAAAATGGAGGTTGCCTCTTTCCCTGGGAGCAGCTGCACTGGAATTTCTAAGCAGGAAGCTGGGAGAGAAATCCAAGTCCTTGCTGCTTCTTCATTCCTGCTGTGCTGAGGAAAAAGGAACTATTTGCATTATTTATTGATCAGTGAGGCTCCATCACCAGGCCTCATTCCTTACCTGATGGGAACAGGGATGTAGAGGGAGAAATCCAGGAAATCAGAGTTGGAAATTAGTTTTTCTCTTCTCTCACTGTGCAAAAGTTGAGCTGACCATAAAGCAGGATGTGATGTGGGATGGTGGTGGTGTGGTTTATCCCATCCCAGCTCCCTGGGATCACACATTCCCAGGGTTCCCAGCCTCAGCTGCTGGGAATCCCTCGTGCCCAAGCAGAAGAGGGATGGCAGCCTGGATTTTGGGCAGAGGGAACTTTCTCTCAGCTCCATCACAGGAATTTTCTCACTGTTACGAGCAACAAGAAATGAGGCTGGTGCAGTGGGACCCACATCTCCAAGGATCAGTGGTCCATGGACCTTCCCTGTTGGGATGGACAAGACCTGCAGGAGCACCCAGGGGCTGTAGCTGTGCTCTGAGTGAGTGGGATGGGAGTGGGACGTTGGTCCTTGCCCCTAAATGCTGTGCCAGGAGGCAGATCCTAAACCCTCCTGGCATGGCCATCCTGCACCAGTGCCAAGAGCCCCTGGAAAACATCACCCTGGAATGGGCTTCCTCCATGGGAGCATCCCTCCGGCCAGGAACACCCTTCTCACATCCATGTTCACACGTGCAATAAAGGAATAAACCAGCTAAAAGCTTCCGAGCATGAATTAGAGAGAGGGAAACACACGTCTGGCCTGCCTCCAGCAGGGAATGTCTGTCCTGGAGTGCCATCTCCTGGCGAAATCTGAGCTCCTGGGCCCCAGATCCCCATCCCTGGAAGTGTCCAAGGCCAGGTTGGATGGGGCTCGGGGTAACCTGGGCTAGTGGAAGGTGTCCCTGCCCATGGCAGGGGGTGACTCTGGGTGATCTTTAAGGCCCCTACCAACCCAAACCGTTCTGGGATTCTCAGGAAATTCCACTCCAAGGAGGAGGGAGATGTTTCTGGATGACGAGTATTTCACACCTGGCCTCAGGTTCTGATTTGCCCCAGGGATAAAAAGCAGCCAGGAGACACCTTTCTGATAAAGCAGAAGACAGATTTCTTGCCTTCTTTTTAGCTTTTCCTTTGGAAAAATTTCCAGAGGGAATTCAGCCTGTGTGAGGGAGGACATGAAGGATTGGCTCCTTAGGGCTTGAGTCCAGAACAGGACTGTTACTGAGAGCTTTTTGTGGATTTCACTGAGCTCTGAGCTTTGGGCTTGTATTTGGGAAGGCACCAAGCTGCAAACTGTGCAGGCAAATGGGGTTTCTGGCAGGTTTTTATCAAGCACCAGCTGAGTGTTGACACTTTGAATTCACAGCCTGGTTTTCCTCCCCTTTAGGATAAATAGGAAGTAAGTTAATGAGTCTGGAGGGGTTTAATGGCTCTGACCCCATCCTTGTGATATAAATCAGGGATTCCCTTTGGACCTGGCTTCCCACAGTGGATGGTGGGAGCCAAACTGCTGGGGAAACCTCTGCAGATCTCACGGGTCTGGAGATTTATAATTATCTGTTTTCCAGAGAACTGTGGCTGTTCCATCCCTGGAAGTGTCCAAGGCCAGGTTGGACAGGGCTTGGAGCAACCTGGGCTAGTGGAAGGTGTCCCTGCCCATGGCAGGGGGTGGAATGAGATGAGCTTTATGGTCCCTTCCAACCCAAACCATTCTGGGATTTTATAATGTCCTGTACTTCAACCCTCCCACACACAGTTCCCAGCTGGGACCAGTTAGAATTCCCAGCTGGGAGCAGCACAAAGCCAAGAACAAAAAGCTGAGTCCAAATAAACAATGTTTCCTGCATGCCAGACTTTGAAGCATTTATTCCTTTATTTGAAGATAAAGTTTACAAGTGAATAAGAATCAGGTTGTTCATCCTTTCATCTGTCCCTCCCTCCATCCATCCATCACTCCATCCATCCATCCATCCATCCATCCATCCATCCCAGCACCATTATGGTCCATGTTTGCTGAGGGAGCAGAAGGAGTGAGGAGCTTCTGGCCAAATATTTCCCAGCCCAAACCTTTTCATCAGTTTCCTGTGGTGATTTCCCAAGGAGTAAACATCAAAAGTGCTTCAGATTTGAGGGGCTGGGAGAAAAACTGGGGAGGGGACCATGAAAAATGTAAAAGAATGTAAAAAGTTTAAGTTTTCCAGAGGAAAAGGAAAGAGAAGCTGTTATGAATGAAAATAAAGATGTGGAAGAGCTGCTGGAGAGAATCAAGTGATGAATGGGGAGGAGCTGGGGATGTTCCCAGCTGTTCCCAGCTGTGCCTTCTCCAGCTGTTCCCAGCTGTGCCTCCTCCAATCGTCCCCACAGATGAGCAGAACTTGAACAGAGTGGGAAGGAAATTAAATAGCTCTCAGAGCTTCTCCTGCCTGAGATGACAGTAGGGGGTTTGCAAGGGATGGAGTAAAGAAAAGGATGGTGGAGGGACGGGGAAAAAAACAGGGAGAGCAGATGAAAAGATTTGTCCCAGATGAAAGAGGGTTTGTACTTGTCGTGTCTCAGATCCATCCCCTGGGATGCAAAACACCTTATTGCAGAAAGACAGTGCACAAAAAAAATAAAAATGCCCCAAACCAAACCAACCACCCCCACCAATCAGAGCTGTGGGATTTCTGCCACGGGGAAAATCCCAACAAGCCCAAACTCGCATTTCCCATCACGCCAGGAATAATCAAACCTAATCCCTGTTTCACCACTGCTTCCTGAATGAAGTTGCAAACCAGGGATGGTGGAACCTTCAGGAGATAAGACATCAAAGGTAGCAGATGTGGGATAACAGCAGATGGGAGACACTGCACAAGGAACTGTGATTTAATGGAGGCAGAGACATCCAAAGGAACAGCTGAGTGAGACAGTGAAGTGGCAACAAAATGTCTTTGTCAGAAGAAAACCTGCTGGCATTGGAGAGAAAGGCAAAATGAGCTGCTGCTGGCTTCTCCCATCAAAGTGCCACTGGAAATTTGCATGTTTTAGCAAATCAGAAGTGCCTTTTTACAACAGGGAAACGTCGGGCCTTGTTTTTTCTCTGTGGATTTTCTCTGTGCCACATTTGCAGCAACAGAAGTGGCAATAAAAACTACAAGGTCACTGTGGCTTGTCCCCAAACGTGTTTGCATATCAGATAACCCCCAAACTGAGCATTTGTTGCAGGAGAAATCCCATTTTGTTGCAGGAGAAATCCCATTCCCTCTCTCAGAGCTCAGTTTCCCATCACAAACCCCGGTGCCCTGGATGTTCCTTGTGGCTGTGCCACCATTCCTGGTCACTATCCCTGTCCTTCTAATCCCCTCACCTGCTGGCTTGGGTCCATCCATCACTGCTGTGCCAGCAAGATTAATTAGTCAGGCAGACCAGAGAACTCATCCAGCTAAAAATATCCCTTCTAATTTCTTTTTGCCAGCTTATTTTACAGGCAGAGCAGTCCCAAGTCTGGGAATTGGTCAGATCCCCAGATCCGAAGTGGTAGGTGGGGAGGAATTATTTCAATGGATTAAAGAAACAGGGAGCTGGACCAACCTTCATCCCTGGCCAGTTGGGTGCCACCAAGCAAAGCATTTAATGTCATTTTGCCCTTTTTCATCTCCAGTAAATGGGGGAAATCTCTGAATGTGGGGAATTCCACTCTGATGCCACGGACAGAGGACAGATATGTCAAAGCAGATGAGCATCAAATAAAAAACACCAGACTGATGGGCAGGGCAGAGAGATAAGAAAGATGGTATTTATTTGAACAGCCACAGGAAATCAGAGATTGAAAAATGTCTAGAAAAAAAAAAAGCAGCAGCACATTTGGTTTTAAAAAAAAAAATTAAATCAGAGCATGCAGATATTTGATACCTTTTCCAGCCAATCCCACCTGACAGTGCCCAGTCCCATCATGGCCTCAAGCATCATTTTTTGGCCTTGTCTCGAGGGTAACCCCCATTGGTCTTATTGAGGGACTCCATGCTGCCGTTGCCCGTTGCCACGCTGGCCAGGAGCCGCTCCACCTCCCCGGGCAGGATCTGCTTCTCCTCGTTCTCCATCTCCCTGTGGTAGAAATAGTTGAAGTTCGAGACGATGACGGGGACGGGCAGCGCGATGGTCAAAACCCCCGCGATGGCGCACAGGGTGCCCACGATCTTCCCCCCCAGGGTGGTGGGACACATGTCTCCGTAGCCCACCGTGGTCATGGTCACCACGGCCCACCAGAACCCGTCGGGAATGCTGGAGAAGTGGGACTGGGGCTCGTCGACCTCCGCGAAGTAAACGGCGCTGGAGAAGAGGATGACGCCGATGAAGAGGAAGAAGATGAGCAGGCCCAGCTCCCGCATGCTGGCCTTGAGGGTCTGCCCCAGGATCTGCAGCCCCTTGGAGTGCCGGGAGAGCTTGAAGATGCGGAAGACCCGGACGAGGCGGATGATCCGTAGGATGGCCAAGGACATGTTCTGCTGCCCGTTGAGCTCGCTCTGCTGGATCAGCTCGGTGGTGAGCGTCACGAAGTAGGGGATGATGGACACGATGTCAATGATGTTCATGATGTTTCTGAAGAACTCAGTCTTGCTGGGGCACACGATGAAGCGGACAAAGAGCTCGAAGGAGAACCAGACAATGCAGGCGGTCTCTATGACGAAGAAAGGGTCCGTGAAGGTGCTGTGGGCCAGCAAGGTGTCTGTCACATTCCTAGAAAGCTCCTGGGCAGACTTGAACTCCCTTTCCTCTCGGAACTCCGGCAAGGTCTCCATGCAGAAGATGATGATGGAGATGACAATGACCAGGACGGAGACCAAAGCTACGCCCCGGGCTGCACTGGAGCTTTCGGGGTACTCAAAGAGCAGCCAGAATTGCCTGTGGAAGTCATTGGTTGGTAAAAGGGTCTCAGGATCCTTGATGAACCCTTCATCCTCCCTGAACTGGTCCATGGCTTCATCGCCCAGCTCATAGAAGGTGATTTCATCAGCAAAGACGTCGATGGGGACGTTGGCCGGGCGCCGTATTTTCCCACCAGACTGGTAATAGTACAGGATCCCATCAAAACTGGGCCTGTTCCTGTCAAAGAAATACTCATTCCTCATGGAGTCGAAGTAGCGCATCCTCTTTTCCGGGTCCCCGAGCAAGGTCTCAGGGAACTGGTCAAGGGTCTTGAGCCGCGTCTCAAACCTCAGCCCAGCGATGTTGATGATGACTCGTTGGTCCCCCTCATCCATGCCCACCCTCTCCCCCACCAGGTGGTCGCTGAACTCGGCAGAGAACCTGGAGAAGATGGTCTCATTGTTGGCGTTCTCGCTGTTGATGAGGATCCTCAGGTTGGAGAGCAGGTTGGCGCAGCTGGGGTGGCCCTTCCGCGACTGCCCGGCGGGGCTGAGGTCGTTTGAATAACAGGGATCCTCCACGATCTGATCAGCGTTGTCAAAACTGACTAGTGCCACCTCCATCTCCTTCCAACTGGACACGTCCATCATACACTAATCAGATTAGCAGCATAAATCCCCGGATCCGACACCGGCAGCTCGAGTCTTTCCCACGCTATGAGGATCTGCGAGGGAAGGGAGAGGGAGACGATGCTGAATTGGGCTAAGCACACAGGTCACTTGGAGAGCATCTTTCGGGCCATGGGGTGGGTAATTTCCCAGACTGGCTCTGCCAGGTGCTCGGGAACAGTCACTGTGTCCCCAGAATATTCCTGGGCATCTCCCCAGCACAGCACTGACATTGCTCTGAACTCGGAGCAAAGTCAAAGAGGAGCCCAGGGACCAAGTTATGGAGCTGGGAAATTACCTGTCCTGCCTCGGGGAGAGAAATCAGATATTAACATGGAACAGTTCTGGGGAGATTTGCCCCAGAATGAACTTTCCAAGTAAACTCAACATCCTGATTTATTTCCCTCCAAATATGTTCTCTGGACAGGAGACACGACAGAGGGGCATGTGGAGCTGCTCTGTGTGACCATGGATCACCAAGGGCACAGTGGCTCCCTTACCCAGGGAACTTCAGCAGAAGGGAGTGAAAAAACCCAGGTGCCCTGGACAGCCAGGAATAGCAACACAATTTAGGCCACGGAGCAGCAGTGACGCTGGGGCCAGTCCTGTGACGAGGATGGTCCCCAGCGCAGGGTTTGCTTAGTCCATCCCAGTGCTGAGATGATATCCGTGGAGACCGAGCTGCTCCCGGTGCCTCAGCATCCCAATTTCACTGAACTAATTCAGGGCTGTGAAGTTTTTTCCTCCCCAGAAGCAGATTTGTGCATCCTTGCTGACACACAGCCGGGAAGGGGGGGTAGGACAAGCCAAAAACCCAAATCTGTTGCAGAAATAGACTTTAACATCCTGTCTTGTACAAATCCTCCCTCTTCTCCTCTCAGCTTTACAGCCCTGGCAGCAAAACTTCCTACAGGAACCAGCATCCACATCCCAGACAAGGGTTTAACCTCACTCTTTCCTCGGCAGAGATTCTGGATTTGGGGACAAATCCCAAAATTTATGTTAAGCTGTTTACAGACCATGTTCCTTTGCTTAAACCAAAGCCACAGAGCACGGCTGTTCTTAGGAATCCATCCCTATGGAACTACTTTGGGCTGGTCTTGTGCCAGTTTTCCCACTTGGAGACATGGAGAAAAGTGTTTGGGGCAGGGGGGCAGAACTGATGCCTGGAGGAAGCAGCAGACACATGATTTTGCCCCTCAAAGTGATGTGCTACAAATCTGAGGAGCCCCAACGGCTCCAAACCTGAGTCCTCCAGCCCCAGTTATGTCCAGCTTGGAGCTGCTCCAGCCCAAGGACCAGCTCCTCACGAGGTTGGATTCTTCCCAGGCTTAACTATTTGGTGACTCTGTGAAAGGTGGTGCTGGAGGGACAAAATGTAACATCAGAGCAACAACCCAGAGCTGTGGATAACCCTGATTTCAGGAGCATCAGCAGGCAGACAAAGGGGTACCACAATAAGCCTGGCCCAAATAATGCTCTTTTGGATCTTTTGAGGGAAAACTAAGTATAAAAGAAAAAAGAAACAGCAGCACAAATCATTCCCTCCTTGCATCCTTATTTTTTTTCTTAATATAAATCCCCCCTAGATGATTTTAAATCCAAAAAAAAAGTAAAGAAAACAAGTTTGAATCAGACTTCAGTGTTCAGTGGATGCGGGAGCTGACCTGACCCATCACACCTCCAGCCTGAGGGGAGAGCCCAGAGGGGTCCACCTGCCCAGGAGCTTCTCTTGGCACTGGGACAAAGTCAGAGCAGCTAAAGCTGACCATGGAATTGCATCCTAAGGTAGCACCATGAGATGACCTTGGTATTTTAAGCAATAAGTTTTAAGTGCTTATTAACTCGTAATACTGCTGGGCAAGGGAGTTCCCCAGCCCCTGTTTGAGGGATGTCTTCATCCCGAGATTTTTGGTTGCAGAAGGAATTGTGATGTCTTCAAACCTGGCTTTGCTCTGGAGCCTCCATGAACATCAAACTGAGCCCCCCCTGCACCATCCCTTGTGGGGAAACTGAGGCACAGAGCTGTGATGGGACAATTTACACACCATGGGCAGGGCTGAGGGTGGAAAATTGTCCCCACTGGGACATGGAAAGGTGATTTTCAGCTCTGTTTTAAGCCCTTGGGACAGTGTCCCACGGGATGCAGGGCTCTGAGGTTCCTTTTCCTGCCTTATAGCCCCAAAATATGCTGATGTCTGTCTGTCCCAACACCAGACGGACGTGCCCCACCCGTCCCCAGGCCCCCACACCACCTTATGTGTCTCGTTTTTCACTTAGACCAAAATTAACGGCCTGTCCTGAAGCCACAAAATACCCTTCCAAAGCTTTTCCCTGCGCTCCGGCCGAGGCTTGAACTAGAAAGTTGCCTCTTTTTTTCCTCCTAAATCACCCAACATCTGCTTCTCGGAATCTGATTAACTAATATCCTTCAGCAGAAATCCCTGGCTGCAGAAAATAATAATAATAATAATAAAAACCATGGGAGGGGGAGCAATGGAGAAGAGAAAGGTCATTTTGAGGGAGAGTTTGTGTTTTGCCCATCACACCCCAGGAAATCAGGGCTGTGGTTCCCACCAGCCCCTCTGTATCCATCAAAACCTGGAATTTCCCTACACTTCCCATTCATCCTACTTTCATCTCCCTCACTCTCCCAAGGCAAAAAGTGTCTGTTTCCAAGGTTTTATAGAAAAATGGAAATGCTGTCGCCCCATCCCCTCCCCGTGACCCCTTTATGGGATGGGAAGGGGGGTGGCTCTTCCCATTGCCCACCCACACGAGCACCCATAAGGACTTACCTGGACAGGGCATGGAAGTGCCAAAGCTCTCTGCATCTGGGAAAAGAGTCATTAACCACACATCGAGAGGTGTAGGGAAAGCAGAGATGGAAAAAAAGCCAGTCCAGCCATACCCTGGGAAGATCCCTTTGGGATAACGCGGCCAATGTCATCTGAAAGGCTCCTCTCCCTTAGTTTCACCCTGTCATTGGCCGGGGATGGATTCTGGCAGGCACGGCGGTGGCACCCGGCACAGTTCGGAGCCGCCATCCCCCCGGGGGCCCTAAAACCAGCTGAGGGGCCGCGAGGAAACGGGACTGGACAGGTGCAAGGGGCATCCCATTCCCGGGCTCCACTCGCCTGGGGAGGGGGGACGCGGCCACCCAGCTCCTGCCCCCACCCGCCCGCCGGGCAGGGACACGGGGGAGGATGTGCCCTTCTGGCTGATGCCACCTTTAATCCCCAATAAAGCTCCGGATGGTCCAGCGGGGACAGGTCTCGTCCGTGACGTGGAGAGGTCTGAGCTGGTCCCCGGGAGAGAGGCTGGGAGCGGGGACAGGGACCCGCACGCCGCTGGCACCGGGAGAGAGATTCCCAGCAGGAGAAAAGGGCTGCTTTTAGCATTAATAGCTAATAAAAAGAAAAGAAAAGAAAGGAAAGGAAAGGAAAGGAAAGGAAAGAAAAGGAAAAGAAGAGAAGAAAAGAAAAAGAGAAGGGGAGGGGAAAGCCAAGGGTCGAAGCATCCCCCGGTGCCCACCTACCTCTTGCCTGTGGCCACGGGGACAGCGGGAGCTTTTCCAGGAGGGGACGGTGCCACCACCACGTGGGACATCTCCTGTTCCCACCCCGGGATGACTGGGACCAGTTGCAGCAGCAGGTACAGCTGGCACAGCCCTGCTGAGGGCACCACCGGGGAACAAGGGAGAGGGGTTGTGCCCCTTCCTGACGCCTGGATCCCGGCTAGATGCTGGATTTATCAGCTCTGGTAATTAACTAATAAATCATTGAACACTCAGGGCAGATGGGACGGGGCAGGTTGGCACCATTCACCAAAATAACTGGGATTTTGGTTTTCCTTTCCCGTATTTTCTTTCTTTCCATTCCATGCTCATGGCCATCCTCACCTTGGGTGCTCCAGAGGGGTTTCATCCCTCTTGGGTGGATCCCACCTCCACCTTCACCCAGGTTACCTTCCCACCCTCCTCGTCCTCCTCCTTCATCCCCTCGTCCTCCTCCCAGGCGTTTGGGAAGGCAGAGGAGGGAGTGGCACATTTCTCCCCGTGTACTTCAGCCTGGATTCCTCCATGGTGACGTTCTTTTGCTCTTGAGGGACACGGTCACCTCGATTTCCCTCCCTGCAGCACCCTTGGCTGTCCTCTGAGGTGTTTCTCCCGCCCTGTGACGTTAATGAGCACATTAAACCTCCCTGTCCCAGAGGAGAGCCCAGCTTGGAGCATCCCATACTCATCTCCAGCCTTCTGTGATGGAAAGGGGACATGAGATTATCCAGACCTTTGATCAGGCCCTTCAGGGCTGCTTTATCATTTTATGCACCCCTTCTGCACCTGTATGGATTACAGTCCTTACATTTCCTCTCATCCCATTGAGGCAGCTGGGGATCTATTGAGAAAAAAGGAATTAAATTGATATTCTTGGCACTTCAATTCACCCCGTGTCCATTTCCCCTTCAAACCCAGCTTTGGCAGGGCTTTGACCACAGGGTGATCGGGTTTATAGGCAAAGTCTGACCTCATTTGAGGTTTTTTGTCCCCAACATCTGCCTAGAACTAACCAGGGTCACATCCTGCACCCAGACAAAGAACATCTGTGGCCAAGGGAAACGCAGAGAATGAAAACCATCCAGAGGACCCGCTGATCTGGCTTGTGCTGGGGCTGAGAAGCTTTAGCAAAACCCCGCTGTTAACAGGAATATCCCTGCAGTCAGAGCAGGGTTGTGGTGCAGGGGAGACGGGTACAGGGGGAGATGCCCGGAATGACATCGCTGCCTCCAAGAAATAGGACGGTTACACAACTCCCTCGTCTCCGGAGGGTTTGGCTGCACCCTGGACACCCTCAGGAAATTCTGCCTTTGTGTTCAGCCAAGGTGACTTTAAAAAGCCTTTGGCACTAGGATTTCAACCTCCCCCAGCCAGGCTGCTCCAGGCGTTCCTCTGGCGCTTCTTTCCCTCTAATCCTCTGCTCTACGCTCCTGGTGTCCCCAGCGCTGCTGGAATTTATCCCAAATTTGGACCCCAAGGGTGTTCTGCATCCAGGAGGGACCAGAATGCAGTGAATGATGGCAGGGGATCACTGCCCAGCAGCTCTGCACACACAGCTCTGACAGCAGAGGGGAGAGAGCTGGACACCCCCCAGCCCCACCCAATGCAGAGAGGGATTACTTGGTAAACGAGGGAGTTTTGGGATTACTTGGCAAAGGAGGGAGTTTTGGCAGCAGGTCCCTGAATTATTGTTTGCACAGGGAGCTTCATTTTCCCTGTGGGGAAAAGTGCAGCTTATCACCATTTCCCTGGGATCTGACATGGGATGAGCTGGAGCAGGGTGGGAATAAGGAAGAGAAGACAGGAGTGGTCCTGGAACACAAAAAGGCAGTGACACTTCAGCTGGGTTTTCCCTAATTCCCAAGCAAAATGATGCTTCTGGAAATCCATGTGGGCTGGGCTTTGCCCTGTGCCAGGCACCAGCTTTGGTCCACAGAGCAATTCACTACAGTAATGAGCCTTTGCTAATTATTCTCTCTCTTTGCAGCACTAATTACCTGGAGTTCAGCTCTATTCCAGCCCCATAGCTCCGGGATGGAGCTGAGGTGGCTCCACTGCACCTCCACAGTGGGAATTTTTTCTTTTTCCCTGCTAATTGAAGTGCCCCTCAATTAGCAAACACCATCCCCCTGCATCATGAGGGGACTTCAGGATGTGCAATATGCAAACCCCCACGTTAAACACTTCAATGCCCTCGATTTAGGGCTGAGTTTATTAATATTTGAGCTCTGGCTCAGGCACAGAGAGTCCTTGGAGGCTTAGTGAGGTGCCCAGGGCATCTGTCATGGGTGGAGCAGGGCAGGAATCACCTCTGGAAGGAAAACAAGGAGCTGCAGGGGGAGATCCTGCAAAACTTTGTGGCTCAGAAGAGGTGTTTGTAAATCGAGCTGTTTAAACTCCAGGCAAATGTGTGCAGCTGTGAGGGAAGGGGCAGGAGGGGAGATGCTGGTAGTTTGTAAATGATAAAAATTCAGGAAAGAATAATTCCAATCTTCCAGGGGATGACGGGGGTCTGGGAAAAGCTGCCTCTGGTCTGAAGTCCTCAGCATGGGAATAGTGGAGAAATGGAAAAGGGGACAAAACATACTGAAATATTTGGCATTCCCAGGGTTTCTCCTGCCCCGTGGCAATGAAGGATTCCAGGGCTCAGAAGTAGCTGGTTGTGAGACTCCTTTGTTTTTAAAGCAGAGGTTAAAGTGTGTCTGAGGCAAAGCAGGGCAGGACTTTTAATATTTAAACCCACACATTCCCTTTAAACGGCCAGAGGGCAGGTTTGGGTGAGATATTAAGGAGAAATCCTTCCCTGTGAGGGTGGGGAGGCCTGGCACAGGCTGGCCAGAGAAACTGTGGCTGCCCCATCCTTGGTAGGGTCCAAGGACCCATTGGATGGGGCTTGGAGCAACCTGGGCTAGTGGAAGGTGTCCCTTCCAACCCAAACAGTCTGGAATTCTATGCAGCTGCACCAGGAGATAAAGGATCAGCCTGAAACAAGCACCACCAACTCCTATGAGCTACTTCCCTCTCCGTGCCTCAGTTTCCCCAGATCTGGTGCTGTGCTAATCCAGCCAGGACGGAGCTCTCTGGGAAAAGATGTACATAAGGAAGATCCCAACTGGATTCCTGGCACTGGGATGGAGGTGTCCATCCCTGCTGACCCCCCCAGCAGGCAGAAAAACAGCCCCAGCCAGAGCCCTGTAACCCTCCCAACTTCTCATACCTCAGTCTGATTTTTCCGCCCGTACTTTTTTATATGAAAAAAATCAGATTATCAGAGAGCCCGGGACACACAGTACACGCCACGAGACAGATGAAACCTTTCTTATACCCAGCCATGGAGTCCGAAATTAATCAGCCACGGATTAACCGGGTCAGGACGTAATTTAATAACAAGTGAGGGAGAGTTCCTGCTCAGAGCCAACGTGGTCCCACACCAGGTGTGCCTGAAAGCTGCTGTGGCCTAGCACAGACAGCAGGAAAATGGAAAAGCCAGGTGGGATGAAATCAGCTCTGCAGGGCTGAAGGAATGGGGACCACCTGGGTCCGGGCCAGGCTTGGCTGCAGCTGAGCCCTCCTCATCTGCCCAGGGCTCAGAGTCGGGATTTTAACCTGATTCAGGAAGACTGAAATGGGGTTTTGACTCTGAGGGTGCTGTGGTGGCTTTTGGGGGTGCTGAAATGGCCCTTTGGAGGCTGAAGGTCTGCTCTGCGCCGGGATCCATGGAGCAGTTGGTGCTGCCAAGGGTTTGACACACTTTAGGGAGCATCTGATGAATGAAACACGGACACAAAGCATTTTGGAAGGGCTTTGATAAGCCTGGACCTGAAGAGATGTGAGGAAGTGGGTGCCTGGAGGGAGCCCTTCCCTCCTGAGCATCCTGGCTCCACCCGGGCGCCTGGATGGGGCCAGGGCAGGCAGCCACCCCTCACCCCCCCTTCTGCTTACTGCCCTGTAACACGATAAAGAACTCGATCCCAAATCGATGGGAAACTTTCCCAGGCTGTCCAAAAGTGCTGGGATAGAGGCAAAGCCCCCTCCCTGACCCAGCAGCAGGAGCTCAGAGCTGCAACCTCAGTCTGCTCCTGGGGATGAGCAAATGACTTTGTCCCCCCTCAAAATCCGCACTGGCAGCAAACCCTGGAGGAGGACGGTGGCCAGAGCCAAAAATGGATCGAAGGGATAAATGGAAAGCAATAGGAAGCTGCTAATCGGGTCAGACGGATCCCTGCATCGATCCCAAGGTTTGCAACAGCAGCACTAAGAGGAGTCCGTGGCAGGTTTGGGGGCCCGGTGTCGCTCAGGGTTTGTGGCATCACGCGCTGAGCCAGAGCCAGGGCATAGATCAGGGCACCCCCAGCACATCCCAGCAACCCCACAGACCCCCCCCAGGTGAAGACATTGTGATCTGGACCCGGCAGCAAAAAATAATTAAGAGTAATTAAGTAATTGAGATGGTGCCAATGAGACCCTCTGACTCCTGGTAAAGCCAGGGTTCACCCAGCACACCCTCGGTGATCGGTAGCACTTCACCCTCCCTCTTCCTCCAAGGACAAACTAAACTTCCCCTGTGGTCACCACGACCCAAAAAATACCCCCCCAAAAAAGAGGAAAACAGCGCCCGACCACCCCAAACCCACTCACCAGCCTCTCCTCCCCTCTGTCCCCCACGTTCACCCCACCACAACGAAACCAAGAAGGGAACAACAAACCCGGCTTTTGCATCGTCCTCATCTTCCTCCAGCGTGAGGGGACCCCAGTCCCCCTGTTCCCATCCCTGTGCCAGGCGGGGGCTGCCCAGCCGTGCTGCCCCTTCCCCTCTCCCGGGCAGGGCTGGGATGCTCCAGCCTCTCCTGCGGAAAGGCGATGCCAGTACCCACGTGAGCCCAGTGGGACTCCTTGCCCTCATTCTCCTTGTGCCTGAAATGGGTTCTTTGCTCCCTCGCTGGGCCCTGCCCGGCAGCAGCAGCGGCGTCCAGGACTTCAAGCCACCTCTTATACGTCTCCAAAAGTGTTCCACGGTGTTTGCTTTGCAAGCAAGGGTGAGGAAGGAGCAGCCTGAAGCAGAGGAGGAGGAGGAGGAGGTGATGCTCAGATGAGACCTTTTCTGTCCCCTCCATGCAGAGCTGCTTGCTGGGACAGTGCTGGTCTCACAGGGACTGTCTTTATTTGCACTCAAGGAAGGAGCAGCTGGAAAAACAGGGGTCTCCCTTGCTCCCACCCCCAGCACGGCCACACAAAGGAACCAGCCAGGTGGAGGCATCCAGGGCTCTGCTGGCCACGGGGCCCTTTGTCCAGGCACTTCTCCAACATCTGGGCCTGGCTTTGCTCTGGTACACAGGAAAATCCCCCATTCCCAGGAGCCTGTGATCACCATTGCAGGAGTTCCCAAAGTCCTGAAACTTCAGGAGCAGGAACTGCCTCCCTGGAGGGCTTTTTCCATCTTGTTTTTATATGATCAGGGGAGCCTGTTCCTCCACGAACCCCTGTGGGGGGTCGCACCCTGATGTACCTCTCTGGATCCTGGCTGTGCCTTGGAATCAGCCTGGAGCAGCCCCTGGCAGGTGCTGGGCAGAGGTTCTGGATGTGGCCACAATCCCTCTGTTATTCCGAAGACCCACTGGGGTGTGACCATCACCCACTGTCCCCCGTCCAGGCAGATGTTTCAACTCCCTGCCTCCTTTTCCAGAAGGATTTAATGAAACCACAACTATTTCCCTTTCCATTTCTCCCCCAGTCCCTGCAGGGACCTCTCCCTTCCCTCCCTGTCCCAAAACTTCACAAGCAAAGGTTAAACCACGAGTAACACCCTGGGAAGGGATCAGACACTGAGGACTGGGGGAGCACCAGCCAGGGCATTTCTAGGCTGACCTCCAAAAGTCATCTGCATCCTGAATCCTCATGCCAGCATCTTGGGATGCTGAGCTTTTCCCTCAAGCTTTATTTCATCCTGTGTAATTGGGGCAGGTTTCCATGCTGTGCCATTGAATTGGGAAAGGAAAATATTGAGCTCAGCCTGCACTGAGCCCTTTCAGGGCATCCCAAGAACGGGGGGTGCGGGGGGGTGTGCAAAGTTGGGGTCTCCCAGAGGTGCTGCTCCAGAGAAAACCCAAGCAAATAAAAAGAAAACTAGATCCTGGAAACTCAGGTCTGGAAAATCTCCCCATAACCGTGGGGAAAAGGACATCTCAAAGGTCAGACAAAGCAAAAAGCTG